AACTAGCTGTTTAAGGTTGCATCCGACAGACCAAAGACACGAAAAGAGATCATCACGCAGCCAAACATCTAACACCACTCACTATATCTTCAACTGACTTACTCTGAAGCCTTGGCCCTCACTTAACCTTGCAGGCCTACATTTCCAGTGGCGTCTAGTAATTTGGTCAGAACAAGACCATTTGGTTTGGCAGGAACAGGATCAAGTGCTAAGTATCTGAAACTCGGGCCCCTTTAAAAATCTCAAATTGGGCACCAAAAATCACTTTTGAATATTGTTTATCATTCCACCCCACCGGGAAATAACTACAATAATCTCTTCCTTCTCAAAGGCTTGGAGGATTTGTTATTAGCTTGTCACGTACATTTTAAACATGTAAAGTGAAACACAAGTGCTAAATATTATTACCTTTATTCAGGTTTCTTGTCCAATAAATTAATTGAAAGCAAAACACTTGCTCAGTACAGCAGTGTTCTGCGATCACACACATTCATACCGAACTCTGGGTAATCTACAACAAGTTATACAATAATACATGAAGAAAAGGAGTACTTGTGGCACCTTAGAGACTAACACATTTATTTGAGCATAAGCTTTCGTGAGCTAAGGTGCCACAAGTCCTTCTTTTCTTTTGCGAATACAGAGTAACACGGCTGCTACTCTGAAACCAATTTTACATGAGAAATTATTTACAATACAGCCTCAAATACAGCAAAGCCTTGTATGGTATAAAATGCAATGACAGTTCATAGCTACCAGAACAATATTGATTGACGGTCTCTGTCCCAGGCAGAGCTGACCAAGCCCATCAAAAGCACTTAACTCCATTCGTGTCCCCATGAGACACTGTTGCATAGGGGTTCTCCCTACCATAGGGGGGCCCCCTTCTTTGTACCACAAGTATCACATTTCCTGCATCACTTTTCTACATCCTGCCCGCATTTCCCTCAACAGAAATTCTCTTAGCTGGGCTAAGGTTTTGGCAGCCCCAAAATATCCAGCAGTTTTACATTTATGACATAACCTCAGAACCTCCTTTTTCAGTGTATCTGGTACAACCAGCTGGTTTCTCCTATCTGTCAATTCTGAGATTCCCCGCTGTGACCAGAAAGCTTTTACTGTGGTATTTTGAGGGGATGCTACATTCGCCAATGATTTTCTAATCAAACAAACACTATTCTAAATCAGGATCCTCTCTTTGGGAAGCTTTTAGTTGCTCCGGGGTCCATTTCTGAAACCCTGCATCCTGTGCTCCAGGGAGTGAACCAGGAACCCTTTGCACTTCTGCAAATGAAGGGAAGAGACGAGATAGCCATCTCTTCCTGAGAACACTCATTCCTTTGAGTAACCAATTCCTTGCTCTCCCGCGGTGTTTGCCATTAGCCTCCCAAGGAGGCCATCAGCATTACCATGATTGTGTCCACAGCTGTTGTGTGTCTATGAAGTCACAGCATGGCAGTTTTTCCAACCACCTGGCAAATGGCCCCTTAGGATTCCTGAATCTAAAGAGCCATTGCCAAGATGCACAGCCTATCCTGACCCATATAGATAAGTAGTGAAAAATTTCCGATAGATTTAACCACTGTCAGGAATTCCTATCACATGGTGCACTAATTCCTCTCTGGAGGACGTAGACAACTTCTGCAATAAACCATTACCCTCTCAACGATTGTGTTCTTATGTCACTACTGTCCCCAAACCGGGAGGATTAGTGACTGTAGGCAGACCAAGACAGGAGCAATCACCAGAGCCCTTTTCAACTCTAATCACATTTAGTGTGTCCTTTGGAGGATCCTCCTCACCCCCCATCCCACTTTCTGTGGGGATTCCACAGGGCTCAGATCCTGGGTCTCCTTCTCTTCTACCACTCCAGCTTAACTCTGGGAAATTTCAACCACAAATTCAATTACCAACTCTATGCGGTCAACTCACAGATCTACCTTTCTACTCCAGATCTGTCTCCTACCCAAAGGGGGAAAAAAAAACACTCTCCCTGTCTCTCTTCATCTCCTGGTGGATGTCCAGTCATCAGCTCAATGTGGCTGAAACAGAGATCTTAATCTCTCCCCAACTCACTCCCTGCGACCTCCTTTCTCGGTCACGGTGGGCAATACCACCCCCCGCCCATCCCCCTACATACACACACATTCATCTCTGCGATAATTCACTGCATTTATTTGCTTCTGATAGCCCAGGTAAATTTTCCAAAAGCACTAACTGTAACTCCACATGGATTTCCAGTGTAAAGCTGTCATATATTGTGCTGCTCTTCTATAGTATTTCAATTATCTCAAAACTCTGGAAACAATCATGCTTACAGCAATCCCCCTCCAGGTAGGTATCCATTATACAGCTGGGTAAGCAGAGGTAGAGAGAGGTTAATTGACCTCCCCAAAGTTTCTTAATGAGTCAGCAATCCAGGGCGGAGAAGAGAGATCCTGGCCAATGAAGTGACCGTTTTGCAACTGACACCAATGGAGATTGGACTGCATGAGGTGATTCTAACTCTCATTCCCTGGCTTACAAACTTTTATTAATATCATGCACCTATTCTTCTTCAGAGCACACTGCAAGCTAACACTGGATATATTCTCACCCACCCTTACAAATCCTAGGCTAGAAGCAAATGGGAACCTCTATCCAGCTATGCAATGCCTAGAAGTCACATTAGCATCTATACAGATTTATCAAGGTTACTGATAATCAACGGCAGATAGCTAAACCTTAACAGCTGGTGTTTTCCTGGCTCGCACACTGGAGCGGAGGTCACAGAAGCATGCAAATCATAAATGCACATTCACAGCAAATGAGATTGGGGGAAAATAAAAATCAGAGATATCACCTGCCTAAAGCATCAGCATGTTTTTTTGCATACAAAATTCTTTAGCTGAACACAAAGTTAGGTCAGATCACACCTTGACTACAAATAGAATTGTTTGCAATCCTACCAAGTACCTTCCAATCACATGCAGAGTATACAGAGTTTACTGCAGTAGAAACAGGGCTAGTCTCACTGGGTCAAAATGTAACCCCTAGCCCCAGGCACAAGAAGCCACAGGAGGGATAGACAGTCATGCAGCTTCTGCTGCTCCAGCCAGTCTGGCGTGAGCTGCAGTTGGCTTCGCCAGAGAGAGTTTGCTCTTTGTGCATTGTCAGGGAACAAGAAGAGCACGGTCAGGAGAGAGAACAGGAAATTGCCTTTTTTGTCAATTTTCATTTTATCACTCCAGAGATTACCGTTCAAAAGTGGAATGTACACTTGTTGCCCACAGACACCATCAGACCAGCCCTGTTTACGCATCAGAAATATTTACATATCAGCCACTAAACTCAACATTTGCAGGTAAGTGGGCTCAGTATTCTTATTTCTATATGGATGAGACCTGCTCAACAGTGGCCGTAACTGCTCTCTTGTCTCTAACACGTCTAAAAATATGTAATGCATCAGTGAGAAACTTTATTGGGTCTAGATTTCCACTTGGCTTTGACACAGATTAGTGTCTCTGGGATCTCATGTAGGCATAAAGCCAGGAGCTTCAAATATACATGACAGTAACAGTCTGAAAATAAACAACAACAACAAAACAGCGACACACAACCGTAGAAATAAGAACTATGGATAAATATTAAAGGACAAAACAAAGGGCCAGCTATTTACATGCACATCAACAATGCATCTTGCATCACAGGACATGCTGCCAAGTCAACTGCATTTCCCTATGTTCCGCTTCCAGTTTCAAAATCACTTCAATATCTTTAATAGACCTTAAAAATAACTCCCTGGGGTCCATGAATTGCAGTTCCCAGCAAGAATGTCATAGGAAGCCATTTGAAAGAGAGAAATCTGGGTGGAAAAGGGAGGGGACCAGCACTTGTTGGTTGAAGGCACAGAAGTGACATAAGATCACAAGGGTAAGAGCAGAAGAATCAATTTACCAAAGCAACTTTCCAGAGTACCACAGAGCGCAGTTCAAATTAAAGGAAAGCCTGCAGCATTCCCGCTAGAGGAAGCTTCGTTGTCCCTTGAAAAATGTCCTACTTCAAAGCGGCTTTCAACTGTAATTTTGATTTTACACAACAGCCACTCAGTTACACAGAGACACACCCACACACACACCTGCCTAAAACAAGCATTCCTCAGTTCATTTGTTCCCACAATTCACAATGATCTGCTCCGGATTCTGAGCTTATTAATAGTTCTGTGTGGTTTCTCCTCTCCCTAGCTCATATATATATTTCAGCTGGGGTGTGGAAGGGAGAGCAGAGGCCCTGCCAGTTCATGCTTTTCCCTCTAGGATGCTGTATGGGCAAGTTCCACGCTGTGTGTGCAGATGCCAAGCCTTTCTCCCCAGTCAATGCACCCTGCCAATTAGCAAGGGCTATAACAAACTCCTCTAGCCTTTCCTCACCCCCACCTCATCCTTCCATTATGGAGCATTTGCGGTGGGGAGGAAGATCAATGACATCGACCTTAGGGTGGGGAGACCAGTTCTCTCTCACACTCTCCCCTAGGGAGGTCCTTTTTAAAAAAAATCCTTCCTCTTTCTAAAGCAGGAGTTAGCCAAGCAGTTGCTCAGCAGATAACCCCCCAGGTCTCGCTGCGGGGAATCCCAGCCTAGACGAGATGGGGCTGATCGCAAGGGGGGGGTCCTGCCACCCCGGGACATGCATACCATGTTTTAGAAAGAGCGGTCAGGCAACAAACCAAGATCTGGGGCAGGAAGGGCTGCCCGGGAAAAGTCTGAGTTACCCTGCGCGCTTTGCAGACACACGCCAATTTTTGGGGGGGCGGGAGGGGAGAGCTGTTTGTGTGTTAATTTTTTTTAAAAAAGGAACAAATGCATTTAAAGTGACTTTTATCCATTCAGCTCATTCTGGCATGCAAACACCCCCCGCCCGCCCCCATCACACACCAGCCAAGAGGGATTCCCCCCCTCCTCCCCCTTCTGCTTGTTTTGGAGAAAGTAAGTCTCGGGGGGGGGAACCCTTCCCCCCCTTACCTAGTGCCTCTGCTAATCGCTTCTTCTTTCAAATCTTCCTCCTTCTTCTCCCCTAGTATAACGAGGATCCGTAAAGTAAGAAGCGGGGGGAGTTTGGGAAGGAAATGAGCAAGTGTGTTGGGGGGGGGGGAGAAACCAACCCAAATATCCCCTGGATCAATTGCTGGAGGAGGAGCGCGCGGCTCGGTGTCTCTGCCCTTCCATCTGCTGCGGTGTTTATAAATCCAGAGCCTGGCGGGAGGGGGGGGGCTCTGTTTTCCCCGGAAACCTCCCCTCTCCTCTCTCCCTTTCTAAGATGTCTGTCTGCGGCTGCTGCTCTCTTCTCCGGAGCCTTTGCAAAGGAGCAAGTTTGTGATCCGCCTCTGGCGGCGGCTGCCGGCTGGCTGCTCCTCCCCTGCGATCCGGCGTGGGGAGGGAGCGGGGGCAGAGAGCCTGCGAGCAGCGATCCCCCCCCGCAGCAGCCCGGCTTGCACCAGCCGACTCCCCGGGTTCTTAAAGGGGCCGGGGCGCGAGACTCTGCACCGCGCTGCAAAGCGCCCAGCGTCCGCTGGGCCCCTTCCCCCGCCGCAGCCACGTTCCCTCTCTGCGGGCAGCCGGGCTCCCTTTCACCGGTCGGGTTTTATTTTTCTCTCCCGACGCAATTCCTTCGGTTTTTGTTTTTTTTTTTGGCAGAGCGGGAGGCATTGACAGACAGCAGGGCAGGGCCCCTGCTACCCACTGCAATAGACACTGGTCTGTTTTACAAGGCTGAAATGAGACTTTGCAAGGGGGGGGGGGGGAAATCATAGGATATCAGGGTTGGAAGGGACCGCAGAAGGTCATCTAGTCCAACCCCCTGCTCAAAGCAGGACCCATCCCCAATTTTTGGCCCAGATCCCTAAATGGCCCCCTCAAGGATTGAACTCACAACCCTGGGTTTAGCAGGCTAATGCTCAAACCCCTGAGCTATTCCTGCCTCCCTCCCCAATCTGGGAGCCAATTCTGCTTTTTTAAAAAAAAAAAAAAAGTCTGGTGGATATTGTGAGCCCTTCGTTTGGGGCCCCAATGCTGGGTTTTTACTCTTTGTTCCGAACCAACCTCCCTGAAGAGTTGCAAAAAGCCTCAACACCAAGTAGTGATCAAAACCTGCAACTTCAATAGCAAGCGACCAACCCTGATTGATTACAAAGGGGAACATGCAGCATTGGGCCCTGAGAAGCCGGCATGTGGTTACCTTTAGTCCAGCGTTGCCAGCTCTCCTGATTTCATTGCACGTCTCATGATAGTTGGTGTGTTTCTTAAAGGCCCAGCTCCTGGGGAGTCCAATGATTTCATGAGATTTTTAACTTTCTAAGTACTTTTCTAGCCCTCACAGTTGCAGAGGCAAACCTTGGAAATGTGAATCGAGTGCATACTAAAAGCTAGGAAGCCAGAGAACCATTTTTTTTTGGGTAGAAACCTCCTTTTATTAGTAAAATAATTATTAAAATAATAATTACAATAAAAATAATTAATAACATCTAGCTCTTATACAGCACTTTTCATGAGTAGCTCTCAACCCTTCACAAAGGTCAGTGAAAGTCGGTCATGATTTTTTGGAAGCATGACGTGATTTCTGAATGCTTGTGGTTGACAATACTGCTTTACACACTATTGGGGCTACTTGCAAGCGTGTTAAACGTGTATGTGTCTGCAGGATAGGGATCTAACTCACATGCATAAGTATTGACAGAATCGGGCCCATGGTTGTAATAATATTTCCAGACACAGTCTGTGATTCTGCAAGCTTCCTCCGCAAAGAAAACCCCATTTATTTCAGTGAGAATTGAGGCTTCTAATTAACATGAAAAATCAATTCCAACATGTCCAAGTAAAACTTTTGCATGTGTTTTAAGAAACTAACAGTTCACACAAGGTGTTAAAGGAGCGTTTCAAAAAGGTCTGTCTGATTGCAGTTTATTTAGTTTGCCAGTTTTTCCTATTTGGTCATTTCCTTTTAGCAGGCACAAAACCTTTCTGTATAAAGATACATCACAGCTTATGCTGGGAGGAGAGTGAGGGGGGAATGCAAAAGAGGCCTTAACCATTGGACTGGTTACATTGCTTTATAGTTTCCAAACACACCTCTGTCAGCTGGTGTCAGATTGTTTTACAACAGTTCAGCACATCTGCAGGGAGAAGTGAAAATCACTGCAGAATTTGCAGGCCAAAAAAAAAAAAAGAAAGGCATGCCCCTGTTTAAATAACTGTGTAACGGGACAGGGGGGCATAAACTTACCTACCCCAGGAAATTCAAGGTTATTGTCACCATCCTCATGAAGTTGTGAGTGTGAGGGAGGAAACTTTAGGACTTGATTTTCACAACTGTTGAGTACCCACAACCCCATCTGAAGTCAGTGGGAAACGCAGGGTCTCAGCACCACTGTACAGAATATAATGAGAGAAATTCTGCCCTGGAATACATGCATTTATCTTCCATTGCCTTCAGGGGTATCTAACAATCAACTATAATAATACCCAGCTCTTTACAGCACTTTCCATCAGTAGATCTCAAAGCACTTTACAAAGAAGGTCAGTATCATTATCCCCATTTTACAGACAGGAAAGCTGAGGCACAGAGAGGCAAAGTGACTTACCCAAAGTCACTCAGAAAGGCCAGAACTGGGCACTTCTGTCTTGAATCAGAATTTCCTGGTTTGGTTAGTTTGTGCCCCAAACTGGACATTTTGGAAAACCCAGGCAGTTTAACAAAAATTGAAATTCAGAACATCCCAGAGTGAGGAAAAAAGCCCACTTCTGAATCATCTCTTCAGCTCATTCCAATCAATTGGAATTAATCCAGCCCACCCACCATCTTCCAGTTTTTCCACCATTATTTCATTTTCTGGTGCTCCCCTCACCCCCATCTTCCCTAACTTTGGCCCCGATCCTGCAATCCACAAGGAGTTCACAGCAGGAGCACGGCTTGCATGTGTTCCTCTGCCGCAGGCCAGCACAATCAGACATGACCTATCGTCATTTGTGCCAACATGTTGTGGACCTCTAGAACTAAGAGCATAAGTCTCCATCGCTTGAGTTAAACAGACACGGCTCTATAGCTTGGGGATGTACCAGCCTCACATCCTCTGTGGACCAAGCACAGACGAGAGTGGGTAACACACCCCGACCAGTAAGTTACTTACAGCAGCTGGTGTAGCATGCGGCCTCTTAATCCCGGGCCTGTGGTTTCCTGCAATATTAGCTACCACTGAGCACATTCAGCTCTTAAACAATTAAACTAAATTACTGTGCCATCCCGGTCATTCATTATTTAAAATGTACACGTATCTGTCATTTTTACGGCCTGACCCTGCAATGATCTCCGCATGGTGCAAGCTGTGGAGAGCTCACGGCAAGATCTGGGCCTAAGTCTTCACTTCGGAGTTTTCCGGAGTAAGGATAGCGGGATTGAACTAATCGTTAGCAGACTATTAGCCAACTCAAGCGGACTTTTGTGAACTCTTTGCTGTTCCATCTTTAATAAACTCAAACTCCTTTACGGAAATATTTAAAGCAGCTCTTTTCCTTTGCAAGAAATATAGGGGTTGACAGGAGTTTGGACCGGGGAGTTTTCCCACCCACTTTAATGAAAGACAGAGCAAGCCCATAATGTGTTAACTACTTTTTATATGGCTTTTCTGTGATACGCTAGCAGCGTCTTCTGCCAACTTTACTTGGATCCTAATGTCAGCGAGGCCCTGATCCTGCAATGAGTTTTACGTGAGCATAGGGGTCTGCCAGCTGTTTTTTTCTCCTGCTGATAATAGCTCATCTTAACTAATTAGCCTCTCACAGTTTGTATGGCAACTTCCAACTTATCTGTATGTATATATATTTCTTCTTACTATATGTTCCATTCTATGCATCCAATGAAGCGGGCTGTAGCCCATGAAAGCTTATGCTCTAATAAATTTGTTAGTCTCTAAGGTGCCACAAGTACTCCTGTTCTTTTTGCGGATACAGACTAACACGGCTGCTACTCTGAAACCTGTCATTACAGGATTGGGACCTCAGAGGGACTCTCTTCCTGGCTTCTTGAGTAATAATAATACCTAGCCCTTTTCATCAGTAGATCTCAAAGTGCTTTACAATGGAGGTCAGTCTCATTACTTCCATTTTACAGAATGGGAAACAGAGAGGCGCAGGCCAGCAGCAGAGCTGAGATAAGAACGCAAGTCCCTGTCCAGAGCGCTATCCACTAAGCAACGCTGCCTCACTAGTAGAGTTGAATGGGAAGTGATCACCAGGCAGAAATGTGAGGGGTCAGCATCCTCTCCCTTAGGACTCAAGAGTTAAACTTTGGAGCCCACTCCCAAAGGTCAGCTGGGACCAGATTCTCAGCTGGTGTAAATTGGCATAGCTTCATTGTAGTCAATTGATTTTCACCAGCTGAGGATCTGTTTCCCCACTCCCCCCGATGTCCTATCTCCTTGTCCCATGTCTAGCTGAGGTCTGGCAGCTCCCTATTGCAATTTCCAAAGTTTGAAGCAAGGTCAGGTGGCCCTTGCAAACCACCGTTTCCTTCAATTCCACTTAGGCATGCAGCAGGCAATGCTGTCTGAGTGGCTGAGATATTGGCATGCTGCATATTCAGCAGCAGTAATTGGATTTCCGCAGAAGCACTGGGGTTTATCTGTGTTGTTTCTGCTTCTTTCAAGTAACTTTTGCTGCAGGAAAGTACCTGCTGCGGGGGGAAGGTGGGGGAATGAGCTGCAACCTGTTTGGAGTATTCCTTCCCTCACTGCCCCTGGCAGGCACTGGGTACAATCGTAACAAAGGAGGGGTACTTTCCACTACTCAGGAGCAGTCTCCTCACGTTTCTTTACAAGATTAGGCAACACTTTATTTGACTTGCCTCTGTAAATTCTAACCCAGAGTAAAAAGCAAAGCTGGAAAGAGGACCTGGCACTGGGATCTGGATCAGATTCATTTCAAGGCATGATCTGGTGGGGATTTAGGTTTGACAGTGCCGGGGGCCAGGTGGAAATCTGGCAAGATCAGACATTTGAGAGATTTCATTATCTTACACCAAAATTTAATTTAAATTTGACGGGGGTCTCTCATCGTCTATGGGTGTGCTTATCTGGAACGCTCCTGCAAATCTTATGCGACTGTCCAGCTACCAAATACACAGTCCACAGTCACAAATCGTATTTAGCTATAATAGTGGGTCCAAAAGCACCATGGGATAAACTCCACTGTTCACACTTACACCAACTAAGAAGATTTGGCCTGTGCTAACTTGCATAGCTGTGTAAAGAAGAAAGTCCAAGGGCTTCCCCATTGCCACAATCTCAGTATGGTGTGTGTATGCATGCGTGTGTGTGTGTATATATCTCTGTGTGTGTGTGTGTGTGTGTGCATTCGTGTACGTGTGTATATATATCATACACACACACACACACATGTTTAAAATCTGGTAGTCTATGC